TTCTTTTTTGGAAGTGTTCTTGTTGGTTTTGGGGTTATTATGTATGCTTGTTGCCAACGATGTTCAGCTCGTGTAGCTTCAAATTGTGTTTCAATGATAGTGGGTATTGCCTCAATTCTTGTCTTATTTTCGATAATTCCCAGTCAGGATACTATCAAAAACATCACAACAACTTCATATAACTATGGATATGAAGATAAATTAAATTAATTCAATTGTGTATTTGGTTTAATTTAACAAATTGTAGAATAACAAATGGTAATTACCAATAACTCCATTTGTATATTAATGTGTTATTATAGAATCTTATAGTAATAATAAAAGTCAAACAAAACATTGGAAAATGTCTTATTTAAATAAAAATATGAAAGAATAAATGAATGTTAATAAAATTATTATTTATTCATTGATTTTTTGATATTATTCACAAAATATATCATTAAAAATGTATAATTTCATTGTTTTATTTATTATTTAGACTTTCTTCTTGTTTTGTAAATAATTCATTTCTCTTTTGATTCATTTCTTTTATTTTATTGTCTTTTCTTCTTAATATCGAATTTGACATGTCTGAAACACCACACAAACCCTAGTACAAATTCAAGCATCGACACTTCCAGTTATTTTCTGGTTATGACAGTGTATTTGAATTAGAAATGTATTAGGGAATGTTGCAAAGGGTGTAGCAAGATATTATGATAGAATATTACATGGTGTAATATAAGGAAGTACTGAAGTGTGGGTAAGACTAAAAGAAAATTAAACATAATAATATAATGGGAATGAAATAGTCTCTTCTCTCATTCATAAAAAAAAGGAAAAAACAAGAAATAGATAGAACTAAATAAAAAAATAAAAACATAAAAAAATATCAATTATTAGATATATCCTCAATTGGATTTTATGATTATTGAGAAGTGATTATTTCAATTTCTTCAATATGCTCTATTGGTGTAATAGAGTTCATTTCTAACATGCTTGCATTAGATTGTTCTTCTTCTAATGTGATGCAAGAATTGAGTGTGTAAAACATTAAGTCTTTCATATTTTTTATTATTATTGTTTGTAGGATTTTGGAAAAGTCTAATTTTAATTTCAGTACTTGTAATCTTCTTGCTGACTCTTTGTGAATTAATCCATTTATAATATAACAGGTATTATTTCTACATACATTAATTCTCTATTATTTCTTATTTTCTCTTGTATTTCTTTGTATTTATTTATTTATTTTATGAATATAATTTAACTCTATATTCATATCTTGACATATAGCAACATCTATAATATATCCTTTCTTTTCTGTAATATTTTGATAATATATAACTTATCTTCTAGCATGGAAAGAATGATCACTAACCAATAAATCTTTATTGTAAGTAATAACCATTTTATCATTATTAATACATTTTGGAGGATTATTAAAATCAATTGAATCAAATTCATTAAAATGTGTAATTAATATCTGTTTAAATATTTGTTTACATACATAATCATGTTTTAATATTTGATTCTTTTTCATTACATCCTAACAATATATGATTAATAGATGTTATTGTGTTATGACAATGTTTACAATATTTTAAATCATCATTTTGGAGTATTTTGGATTTAATACTTCCTGTCATACTTACTCATTCTTGCATCTTTACTACTTTGAGGAATGCATTTCTTTTTATATTTAATGACCTCCATGTGGTTACTGTTAATTTCTTATCATTGAAAGTGCCATTTGCACATCTTATATATTCACCACATTTCTTTTCTTTCAATTCACTTAAATATCTATCATTTAATTCATTATTTACCCATTCAAATATTTCCTTTACATTGTGTTTTATTTCATTTAATTCTATTACATTCATTAATTCATTAAAATTAATCTTCTTACCAAATGTTTTCTTCATTCTTTTAATTATTCAATTTGGATTTTCTTTTATTATTTCTATCATTTCTCCTATTTCTGTGTTTGATCTCCACTTATATTTTAAATATATTCTTATTAATTCTTTACCACATTCATCTCTTGCTGACATTAATCCTAATCCCATTTCATTTATTTTAACATATAATCTACTTTTGGGAATATTTCTACTGTATAATTGGAGTTGTATTAATGATTTTCTTATTTGTTTATCTATCTTCTCCAATTCTCCTAGTTTCCATGGGACAATACAAAATCCATATCTTAATTTGGAGATTATATCACTATTAATCTTTCTTATTGTATTGAGGCTGCTGTACTTCATAGTGTTTAATGATGATAAAATAGAAGATACATCATTTAATATTCTTGTACAATATTTATTAATATTTACTTTATCTCCTATTTCAATACCAAGGTATTTATAATGATTATCATTAGTTACTCTTGGTAATTCAGCTAATTCACCATTTATTTGACTATTAATATTAGTCATTATCCCACTCTTTTCTACATTAATTTTTAATCCTATTGCATTAAATATTTCTTTAGTTAATTTGTTGGCTTTTTCCATTTCATCGAGGCTATTAATTATTATCTTTAAATCATCCATATATAATATGTGGTTTAACTGGACTTGTTTTTCTTCTCCATTCATTTTAATATTTAATTTGGTTATTTGTTTATCTAATTGTTTAGATAATACGTCAATAGATAATACAAATAAAAGTGGAGATAAACTGTCACCTTGTATTATTCCTCTTTCTACATTAATTATACCCACACTTTCTTGATTATAATATAAATTAAGATGTGTATTATTTAATATATATAATATACTATTAATTACTACTAGTGGGATGTTAAAATAAATCAAGCATTGTTTAATCCATTGGTGGTTAATACTATCATATGCTTTGGAGACGTCATAATATGTTTCTACCCACTTCAATTTAGCCTAATGAATATACAAACAGTATCAAATTAGAAATAAAATCAAATTAGAAATAAAATCAAATCAGAAATAGAAATAATGAATGTAATTCAATTTAATGAAAATAAATGAAATAATAATAAATGAATTATAAATGAAATTAAAATAAAAAAGAGAAATAACATTATAATGAAATATTTCATGTAATATCATTAATAATTTAATATACAATGAATTAATATGAATATTATATTTATTAAATTTACAATTAAAGTCAAATATGATATTACATTCATTTATATTAATAAATTTCAATTATATAATGTTTTATATAACAAATAATAAAAATAAATTAAAAAAATGAAAATTCTAAAATTGAAGTGATAGAAATAAAGAAAGATAGAAATAAATACATTACATTCATTGATTTATTCATTTCTTTATTATTCATATTATCAAATTTTTGATATATTTATTAATTGAATATTTATCATTTGTAATATTTCATTTCTATGATATTTTATTTATTCATATTCATCAAATAAATAATAAATAATACTTTATTGAAATATAAATTATTTGTTATTAATAATTTATATTAAAAAATAAAAAAAAGAAAAAATTGAATGACGATTATCTTAAAAATAAATTTAAGTTCACACTAAAAATAAAAAAGAAACTAATATCAAAAAATATAAAGAAAGAATGGCATTAGGATATAATGAAATAATGATTGTCTCGAAGTATTTTGAAGATATTAATGATTTTATTAATTTAGAAATGGGAGTTAAAAGATTTAGAGGAAATATGGAACGATTTCATTTTAATCCAATTCCATTGAATCAATATTCAATAGAATTCTTTCCTAATATTGAAACATTTCATATTTATAATGAATATGATGAAATATTTGAAGATGGAAGAATATTTAAATATGTAATATGGTATGATGTGAGTTATTCAAGATATTTAAAAGAGAAAGAAGAAATGAATGAATATAAAAATATCGCATATACAGAAGAAGATAGAATTAAATATGGAAATACAATACCAATAGAAGTTAATTCACTTGGAATTAATTGTTTTGGTCAGTGTGATATTCAATCAATTAATATACCAACAAATGTTAGTGAAATAGGAGATGAATGTTTTTATAGATGTACATCATTAACAACAATTAATATTTCAACAAGTGTTAGTGAAATAGGAAATAAGTGTTTTTATGGATGTTTATCATTAACAACAATTAATATACCAACAAGTGTAATTGAAATAGGAAATAAGTGTTTTTATGAATGTAAATCAATACAATCAATTACTATTCCAACAAGTGTTAATGAAATAGGAAATGAATGTTTTAAATATTGTAAATCATTAACATCAATTGAAATACCAACAAGTGTTAGTAAAATAGGAGATGGGTGTTTTGAATATTGTACATCATTAACAACAATTAATATACCAACAAGTGTTAATGAAATAGGAAATGAATGTTTTAAATATTGTAAATCATTAACATCAATTGAAATACCAACAAGTGTAATTGAAATAGGAAATGAATGTTTTAAATATTGTAAATCATTAACATCAATTGAAATACCAACAAGTGTTAGTAAAATAGGAAATGAATGTTTTAGTTTTTGTTCATCATTAACATCAATTGAAATACCAACAAGTGTTAGTAAAATAGGAAATAAAGTTTTTTATGGATGTGATGATATTCAATCAATTAATATACCAACAAGTGTAATTGAAATAGGAAATGAATGTTTTAAATATTGTAAATCATTAACATCAATTGAAATACCAACAAGTGTTAGTAAAATAGGAGATGGGTGTTTTGAATATTGTACATCATTAACATCAATTACTATTCCAACAAGTGTTAATGAAATAGGAAATGAATGTTTTAAATATTGTAAATCATTAACATCAATTGAAATACCAACAAGTGTAATTGAAATAGGAAATGAATGTTTTAAATATTGTAAATCATTAACATCAATTGAAATACCAACAAGTGTTAGTAAAATAGGAAAG